ATCTTGGAAGTGTAAAAAGCAAATCAAATCTGAAAAACAAAAGCATATGTGTTTGTATGGTACCTAGAATGCCCGTGGTCCTGAGTGGTGAACTGTGATCACACAATGAATTCACTCATGATGAAACATATGCTATTGCTCTGAGAGAGGCTCAGAATACTCTCTGAGGGAGAAGGGGAACAGGGACTAGAGCATTTAAAAAAACCCATAAAATTAACAGGAATATCTTAAGTCTGGGGTTTCTCTAGATAAATTGATAACCAGCAATGTGAAGAGATACATGTAATAATTATTTGGGAGAGTGATATATACTATTTCACATCAGTCACCACCAGAGTATATTTTTACTGGTGTAATTAGAGACTACTTGAAAAATGTTAAGTTTATTATTTGTATAGCAGCTGTTCCCTGGTCATACAAAGATAAAACACACGTCAGTTACCCTGAATGTTTCTCCAGATTGGGGTAAAGGATATTGGTGGGCCAATGTGGGCCTGCTTGCACTGTCTGCTGTGAGTAAATTGTACATCCGCTGCACCTGCTCTAGGGGAAAAACAGGGGATTCAACTGCCATATCATTTTTCAAAAGACATCACACTGACATCCAAAAGCCAGCCCACCCAAAGTGCAAATGTTCCCCATCCAGTGATGAGCAGCTACAAACACAACATTTCTCATGCTAATGCATCTACTACATTAACTATATTATATTATGTAGTGTAGTTGCATGTATGTAATCCAGAGTTGGCTCTGAGCCACAACCCCTAGCAGAAAAACCTTCAACTACTCACACAGAACACCATTGACTTTAATAGGCCTTTTCACCAGCATAAGAATTCATAAGCATGGAGCAAAGCACTTCACAATTCATCACTGTAGCCCATAGTTACATATGCAGCCCATTGACTTCATTACAACTTGGACGATTCAAGCCAGTTCAGAATTGTAAAATCACATCCTACCACCTATCAGTGCAGTCTAATTTGTCATTATATGTGACTGTATTCCATACTGAAAGTATATTTTCCAAGGCTAAATTTAAAACAAAATTCCTTCAAAAATGAATAGAAGGTCTCTGTGTCTGAGGCTATGTCTAGACTGCATCCCTCTGCCGACAGAGGGATACAAATCAAGCACTTTGGAAGTGTAAATGAGCCCGGGATTTAAATATCCTGGGCTTCATTTGCATACTCACATTCCGACGCTGTGCCGATCAGGCTCAGTGTCAAAAGTGAAAGTAAAGTGTAGGCGCGGCTCTGCCGACAGCAAGGAGCTTTTTCGGTAGCTTCTGTACTCCTCATATTTTGAGGAGTACAGGAGCTGCCAAAAAAGCTCCCCGCTGTTGGCAGAGCTGCGCCTACACTTTACTTTCACTTTTGACACTGAGCCTGATCGGCATAGTGTCGGAACGTGAGTATGCAAATGAAGCCCAGGATATTTAAATCCTGGGCTCATTTGCACTTCCGAAGTGCTTGATTTGCATCTCTCTGTCAGCAGAGGAATGCAATCTAGACGTAGCCTGACTTTGTATTGTATCCCAGAATGACACTTCTTTCTTATGGTTTCCATCTCAATTTATTTCCACTTGGCTACAAATGAAATAAAATGTTAATTCTGATGAAAATCAGGGCTGGCTGGGGATAGATTTTTGTTAATGACCTGAATTGTTAAAATCATCTGTCTCAACAGAAATTTTTCAAGAGGCCAAAACAGGCCCTTTAGTGTAGGAAAGATGGTTAATATCTCCTATTACATTTCCTGACATTTTGATAGACCAGGATATTTGTTGATTTCCAAATGTTTGACTGGTGACATGGAGGGTACATCTACACTACAGAGTAAGATTGAAGCTGCTGTGGTCGATCTTCCAGGATCTAGTTAAGACAGCTAATTCAAAGTGAGAAGGGCACTCCGCCAGTAACCCTGCTTTCACAAGGGCTACGTCTACACTGGCCCCTCTTCCGGAAGGGGCATGTAAATTTCATGAGTCGTCGTAGGGAAATCCGCGGGGGATTTAAATATCCCCCGCGGCATTTAAATAAAAATGTCCGCCGCTTTTTTCCGGCTTTTAAAAAAGCCGGAAAAGAGCGTCTACACTGGCCCCGATCCTCCGGAAAAAGCACCCTTTTCCGGAGGATCGGGGCCAGTGTAGACGCTCTTTTCCGGCTTTTTTAAAAGCCGGAAAAAAGCGGCGGACATTTTTATTTAAATGCCGCGGGGGATATTTAAATCCCCCGCGGATTTCCCTACGACGACTAGTGAAATTTAAATGCCCCTTCCGGAAAAGGGGCCAGTGTAGACATAGCCTATGTGTTTGTACAGTGCCTAGCACAATGGGGCCCTGATCTTGGCTGGGGATGTAGATGCTACTATGCGGGCAACCCTGCTTTCACAAGGAGTAAGGAAAGTTGAAGGGAGAATGTTCTTCCTTTGACATCCTACAGTGTAGACAGCGCCAAAAGCCAAGTTAAGCTACTTTGACTTCAGCTACACAATTAATGAAGCTGAAATTGTGCGTATTTTAATTCGACTTTTTCCTGTAGTATGGATGTACCCCTGTAGCTCTCCATGTATCCTGTTGATGTTGATTCAACTTTGACCTTGCTTTTGAGTTGTTGCCAATTTTTGCTTGGCAAGAGCATTCCTTCCTGGTGTTTTATAGTTTTCAAGCAACAGGATTCAGTTCATATAAAACTAATGACAGGACAGAAAATGTGCCTCCAAAACAAATGTACACAAATGACATTTTTTTAACAGAAATTTTGTCAAAGTCTATAGTGTGCAAAGATGTCTGTGACCCACAATGTGTTTTGCTGAGTGTTTACTTGTCAAATGTGTTTGCTACGTGTCTAGAAAAGTATTTTTCATTTTTTACTTCAAATTACTTATACTTTATTTCTCTTGCATTGACTCTTCATTGATACATTTGAAAAAAAATTTTCTCATGAACTCTTTGAAGAAGTAGAATAAGTCACACATTGTTTTTACATTTCCTGTCTAGAAAAAGAAATATTAATGTGTAGAACAGGTATCCTTATAGGTAGCTAGTTAGAAATTAAATTAATGTTATATTTCTTTCCACATATTTTTAAAGTTGCATTTTTGCATTTCCAGATATAGAAATCAGTGTGAATGCTTCACTCTGCACCAACTCCTATGAGTTATGTGACAGAAAGCAGCAATAGACACTCAATCTGCATCTCAATTCTGCTACCAATGTGTGTACATATTGTGTCAATCTATAGCTTTTCAATGCTGATGCTAAAACAGCCACTCAAGTTGTTGCTGAGTGTATGATGTTAATGACCAACAATATCCATTTTAAGCAGTGTTGTTGTGGTTATATTGGTCCTAGGTATGACAGAGAAAAGGTGGATGAGGTAATACCTTCTATTGGATCAACTTCTAAGGTATCTCATCTCACCTGGCTTGTAGCTCAGAATACTTGTTTCAGTGAATTTTCAATCAAAGAAGAGAAAATGTTACCAAAATAACCATCAGGAAATCACACCGCATGTCTGTAGAACTGCAGCAGGGGGTTAGAGAGTGAAGAAGATGATAGTGTCCTGTTTCATCAGCAGTCATAAATACAAATACAAGCCTTTCATCACATATCTCAAAAGCATGCGTTCCACATGCTGATGACCCTGGTTATTGATGGAAGTACTTCGCTAACTGTCAGCCAAACTTCCCACAGGCAAAATTAAATCATCTTCAACCATCTCTCCCTTCCACATAGCTCTTGTTGGTGAAACTTATGTTGGTCAATGGTGTGTTTTTTCACACCTCTGACAAACAAGAGCTTAGGAACAAAATTGCTGGTAAAGACAAAGTCTAAGACAATTTTTAGTACTCTGCTTATCTTAACAAAAAGATATTATAAATTGGTTTAATCATGCCTAATTATGTCATGTGTTTTTTATTCTCCTTATCTCACACACATCCATTAACATCAATGGAAGATGAAAGAGCCAAAGGAAAAAAGAGAACAAGACCTTTAGTTCTTAATCATTTCAAATACTTTTGCTGGGAGAAATGATAATGCAGTCAAGTATTATGTCCATTGATACTGACAGTCTGAATCACTACCTTTTATTCTATTATACAGCATCAAATAAAATGAGTAAAACGTCTATGTCAAACTTGATACCTAAAAATGAGATGCCTAAATTCATATTATGGATCACAAACAAGGATTTAGAGACTTAAAATAATTATTTAGGAGTCAAAGTGCCTCTTTAGACAACTTAATGTGGGAATAGGTGCTTTCATTTCAGCATCGAACTTTGAAAGTTGGGCCCACAAACTTTTACATTTCATACAAATTTATAAATTAAATCTCTTTAAAATATTTTCCTTTTGAAAAGATCTGGCATTGGGATTAAATACGTTGGTAGGAATCTGCCTCTGCACTCTTTTGCTTCATCAAGTAGCCTGTCTGGTACATTAGATCTACAATATAAACTTGAGGAGGAAGTAGAAGCCCAGTTATTCCTTGAGGAGAATCGTCAACTAATTTAACTTCATTCCAAGCTCTGCCGTATTCTCCACGAACTAAGCTACAGCCAATGCCAATTCTGTCTGCTATAACCTATGAAAGAAAACAAAAAAGGAGTTAATGAAAGTTATCACTAGTTTCTGAAGCAATATATTTAGTTCATGAAATGCACCACCGGGTCACAGAAAGGTGCAGAGCCTTCCTAAAGGAGACTTGGTTATGGAGATTTTGTAGGATTCCCCACAAGATTCTGCAAACAGCGAATTTTCACTGTTGGCCCTGGAGGGAAACTGCATTTTTAAAATGTTATTTCTGCTATATTCTAGAAGAACAGCAGTGATATACAGTTACTATAATTATTTTCAAGAACTAATTCATTTTGTATGATAAGTCACTCCTCCAGGCCTCAAATTGAATAGGGCACATGTGGTCCCAAGACAGTCTTTTCAACAAATTTAGAAAATCCTAAGGGAGCTGTTTTTGAAGTACAACACCCTACAATAATCTATACAAATAAAGATATATATGTATGCTCTGCATGTGTGTACAACATGGAAAATACGATGATGCTTGAAATCAAGGTTTAACTCAGTTTGTGATTGAAACATCACTTATAAACTTCCCTCTCAACATTCAGACCGGCTAGTGTATGATACAAGCCATTGAGATGTGTGAAAAATGACTGGAATGTGGAACACCTGAGTTTTCTTGCATGTTACATTATAATTGACATATTGTAATCATCCTTGGGAGGATTATATTTGTATTGGTAATTGCTAGGAAACATGAATATCATCACACACACAAACCAACAAAAAAGTATTTTCACTGATAATATACACATAGACAAAGTAAGAAAAATGCTGCTTGAAAACGTATTATTAGTCCCATCTTAATGGATGTAAATCATATGGTCATGCAAGCATAGACTGAGCAGGATTAGGGGCACCATTTAGGTAAAGCCATGGGGAGCTGTCCTGCTCCTCCCCCATGCTTCATATCACAAGTTAATTTTGGGAATGTCTATTGCCATTAAGTAATTGTTATCTGAGAAACCCCTCCCCAAATTGATACGCCTCTGAAAATTTAAATTGATAAAAAAAATTAACATTGATATTATCTCTTAAAGTGATAAAAAAATAGAATTCTGCCAAACTAGCCAGCATTTAAAAATGGCGCCGGCCGGCTTCATGCAAATGAAGCCCGGGAAATTCAAATCCCGGGCTTCATTTGCAACTGCGGATGACTACATTACCCCCGCTAGTTCGAACTAGCGGGGTAGTCTAGACATACCCAGAGAGAAGGGGATGGAGGGAGCTTGGCAATGCAAATTTCTTTGTGGAGATAAGGTACAGGAGTAGAGAGAGGTCAGGGTTTCCTTCATCAGCACCCCCCTTCTTCTCCCTCCCACACTGTGCACAGCAAGCGGTAGGCTCCTGGGGGACAGCTCCAAGGCAGAGGGCAGGAGCAGCACAACATTAGGTAGAGGGGCAACCGAAGTGCCAGCGCTTGATAGCTTCCTGGCCAAACCAGTCAGGATTATTGGTTGGTAACCACTGTGCTAGTACAATCTGTACAACACACCATTATTTAGTCTGTTAATGCTATATATATATTTTTAAAGAGTCAAAATATAAACAAAAGTACTTGTTTAGTGGTGTTCTCATCTTGGGGGTATGTTTACCATTCCCATATCGCTGAATGAGAGAAGTCATGATTAAGCCAGGCTCTTTTAGGACATAAATGTACATAAAAACTTCACAAGGAAAAGAAAATGATATAAAACAAATTTTAGAAACTTTAAAATCACATTATTATGTATGAAAATCCTACTCTAGGTGATTTTTGAAGTCCAAAATATCAAGTATTTTAGGTCTCAAAGTACATTCTATAGAATCCACGGGAAAGGCGGGCATTTCCTTTCCAGTAGGATAAAATTCCCATTTCTAACTATGCAGGAAGGAGTAAAATTTGAGAGGCACACTATATCTTTACTGTCACAGAGCCCAATTCTGTGAGTGCTCTCTGTAGGTATAGCTATACTGCAGCTAAGGGTGCGCTCCTAGCTTTGGTAAACAGATGCACACTAGCTCTGCTTTAACATGCTAAAATAGCAGTATGGATGTTGCAGAATGGGCGGCAGCACAAGATAGTCATCCAAGTTCAGAGCCATGGGGTCAGATGGGATTTTACTTTGGCTACTAGTCTGTGCCACCACCTCTTCTGCAATACCTACACTAACACAACTGGGAGTCTTGTGGCACCTTAAAGACTAACAGATTTATTTGGGCATAAGCTTTTGTGGACAAAAAAACACTTTGTCAGAGTTTTGCCCACAAAAGCTTATGCCCAAATAAATCTGTTAGTCTTTAAGGTGTCTTACGACACCTCATTTTTGATTATATAGACCAACCCCTCTGGTAAAAGTCTACACTGCTATTTTTAGCCTGCTAGCTTGCTTTGAGCTAGTTCATATCTGTCTCCAGGGCTGGGAAGCATGCTCCCAGATGCAGTGTAGACATACCTATTGTGTGGCTGTGCAGTAGGGGCTGGTGAGGTGGTCTGTTTGATTCCTCTAGTAATTCCCCCAGTGGGAGGAGTGGTAGTGATAACAGGAGGCAGTTGGAAGGGATGCTAAAGCAACTCCATGCCAATGTTTCCCCAAGGAACTGCCCAACTCTCCAGCTATTCACTAGTGTCAGATTTTGAACCTAATCTTTTCTACATTGTAAGATACAACCTCCATTATTAAATATAAATTGTACTGCTTTTTAATTACAGGTTACTTTCCACAGGATCATGTATCTGCTCAATTTATATTTTATCACTGTTACTGTAGGAAACATTTATTTGCACTCACTTAACTCATACTGGAAAAATGAATATTTGCCCAACAGCACATCACACTGTCAAATGTTCTGTGACTGTGTAAGAAAGACCCTTTCTCCTATCATAATGTATTACACATAAGCACCAGCCAGAAGCTATTGTTTCAACTATTTTACATTTGCAGTTGAAAAAATAATAAGCACTTCATAATGTAGTGCTCTACAGTTTACAGGAAAATGAATATATTTTGATTCCCAATCAAATATTTTGGCTTTTTGCCTTATATCAAGCATTCTATTGACATCGCTTAAGACAAGTTCAATGATGCTTATCACAACAAGGATGTTTACAGAAAGAAGACAGGCTGGTTTTCATTCAAAAGGAAATCAAATATTTGCCAAATGGAAAATATCTTAAATATACACACAAACAGCAATATAACATGACAAGGTTCTTTTGAATCTAATGTACTGTAGTTTGTGCTATCCCTTTAACAAAAATAAAGAACCGTAATTCCATCGGTATCTTTAGATCAGTTAAGGGGCAAAGTAAATGATAATATACCTTGAAAAGCAAAGCCCTGTGGTAGAAAGTCCCTTTCTTGATTTTACCAATGGGTACGACATTGCATTTCAGTTCAAATTCAATTTCGCTTATATGAAGTTCCCAGCTGAATTCATGTAATTTGTCTCTTTCAATTGGACCACCCATTTTATCTGCAACAAACCTGTTTTAAGGTACACCAAAAAATCAATTAAATCTGTCATTTCTATCATACATGCTTAATGGAATAATGCAGTTGTTTAAATACAAAAATACCTGTATGTCATATAAAAGTGTATTACTTTTGTTATATATGCATTTGTTTTATTATTCAGTTACTAGAAGTGTGCTCACCATTAAATAAATTAAAATGATAATGAAGATCATCGGAGCTGAGCAACTTAATATCAATTATCAAGAGAGAAGCAGCAAAAATTACATACAATTAATGACAAAGTAGTTCAGAAGCTAGGATTCATCTCTGAAGTTAGTAGAATCTTTTGCACTATTTACTACAATTTTTTCAGTACTACCATGTGTTTTAAGTAAATAACATCAAAGACATTAGAATATGAAATAAGAAAAATAAGGTCACAGCTAATAACTGCTGATTTATGAAAGCAACCCTATTACATTAAAAGTTATGCATGTGTTTATCTGCTTTCTTGAACCAGAGCCAACATTTGTAATTGTATTGATTTGTATTTTGTAATTTATATATAAAAATTAATGGCCAAACCAAGGAAATCCAAGGTCAGGACTAAAAAAATGCCAGTGCAATTACTGTGAGAGTGCACTACTATCAACTACTATCACACAAGTGCATATGCCAAAAAATTAAGCCCTGATTCAGAAGTCTATTCCTGTTCATCAAAGCAGTTAGTATTACTTTAGGCACGTGCTTAAGTTCCATTAACTTCAACAGTCCATTGAAGGAACATCAGAAGTAACTTTTAAGGAAGAATTGAAAGGTAGTGGTTAGTATAACGTAGTGGCTCTAAAGCTTTTTACTGAGTACCCCTTCCATGCACAGAAGGTTACATAGGAGAAAGCTGCTAAAAATTCTGCAATGTCATTGGTTGCTCATGCTTATTCAAAAGCGATATAAACAAAAATGGCAGTAAGTTGTGGACGGAAACATTTTAAACATAAGACACAGAGAAATTTTAGAATGGAGAAAATTTAAGATTTAACTAGATGAAAGCTATTTTTGAGTTTCCAATCACAACATTTAAAAAACTAAGTTGTATTAACAATAGAAAAAAAAATTCCTTTCTCTTACCTTTGCCCCTAATATCTAAAACAAAAGACAGGACTATGCAGCACTTTAAAGACTAACAAAATGGTTTATTAGGTGATGAGCTTTCGTGGGCCAGACCCACTTCCTCAGATCAATTTGTGGAAGAAAATTGGCACGGCCATATATAGCAAAGTGATACAATCAAAAATAAGTGAACACATAAAATTGACAAATCAGACAGATTTGTCTGCAATGAAAAGTAACGTTAGTTCGAATTAGGATCTTTAATTCGAACTACCTAGTCCGTGCCGCATGTAGCCGCGGGCAGGTAGTTCGAACTACGGGGCATTTAAAAATGGCGGCGCCCGGGAACATGCAAATAAAGCCCAGGATATTTAAATCCCGGGCTTCATTTGCAAGTTTGAATGCCTACATTAGCCACCCTAGTTTGAACTAGGGTGGCAGTGTAGACATACACTTTATGTGTAAGCTGGCCTTGTGGACAGTCCATAAACTATGAGCCTGTAGATCAAGATATGCTCCTGACCTCATGGCTGAGGCAGGTAAAGATATATGTGAAGGCAGACCACCATTACTGCCATGTACTTGGTAAAAGCACACTCTGACAATAGGGTTTGAATGGCAGGGTGGTAAATTGATAATGATAATCTGCTACCACGAACCTCCAAAATACCCTGTGGTCAGACTGGATCGCCACATGCAATTAGGCATCCTGTAAGTCAAGGACAGTATGCCAGCCTCCAGGGTCTACGGGTGAAATAATCATAGCCAACGGACACCATCCAGAATATTATTTTCTTGATGTATTTGAATCTACACTTATTGTCTTAGAACACACTTGTGAGAGGGATCCCTGGGGACCAGGTAGAGGTGTGGGATGAAGGGGCAGAAAGGAAATGCAGGATATATCCCAATTCCACCATGCTTAACACCTATTTGTCTGAGATTTGTCTGAGGTGATGAACTGCTAGGCACTTGAGAAATGGGATAATCTATCCAGAAAAGAGGGAATGTGCCAACATGAGACAGGAAAACTTTACAAACTGTCAAATATTTTCCTGGAGTGGAAAGAGTATTTCCCTCCCAACTCTATGTATTTGTATTTTGTCTCAGACATAATAGCAGGAGACACACAGCAGAGTCTGTTGTATAAGGAAAAGTTATTTACTTATTCCCACAATATAAGAACTAGGGGTCATCAATGAAATCAATAGGTAGCAGGTTTAAAACAAACAAAAGGAAGTTTTTCTTCACTCAGTGCACAGTCAACCTCTGGAATGCCTTGCCAGAGGATGTGGTGAAGGCTATAATTTTAATAGGGTTCAGAAAAGAGCTAGATAGATTCATGGAGGTTAGGTCCATCAATGGCTATTAGCAGGGGTCAACAAATTATGGAAAACCCTACTCGCCAGACAAAAAAGGGACTCGCCATCCTCCTCCACAAAAAGTGTTTTTTTTCAATGGCATAAATTCCTAATAAGAATAAGAACAGTAATTACTAATAAGTTATTAATAAATATAACCCAGGTTATTAATAAATATCTTATAAACCTCTACCTTTTCTCTCTGCTGCCACGTCTCCTCCCCTTGCTCCATCAGCTCCCCTGGTGCCTGCTGCCCCCTAACCCCTTACCCTCTGCTGTCCTGACTCCTGCCCTTCTCATTGCCCTCACCCTTCCTCAAGCCTGCCCCCCTCCCCCAGCCCTTCTCTCCCCCCGTGCCCACTCCTCCAGTAGCCCCACTCTGATCGTGTGAGCTACCCCTCCTCATCCTCTCTCCTAACACCTCCCTCTACACACCTGCCCTGCCTCTCTCCTCTGGTGCTGGTCCCTCCCCTGCAGGTGTCTGCCCTTCTGCTTCACCCCCAGAATCTCTCAGCACCTGAATCTTCCCTCACCCCTGCACCCTCCTGGTGCCCCCGCTTCCCTCACTGCCCCTGCCCCCTTTGCCCTCTTTTTCCCTGATGCCCACCCCCTCACCACCCTCTGCCCCTGTTCCCCTCCTGTCCCT